ATATATATACACTCGATTGCAGAAACGTTGTAGTATACATTTATACATTTATACAAATACCTAATGAGATGCATATTGCAATTTTACTTTTTTAACCCTTAAAACCAATTGATTTATAATCTGTAGGATATAAAACACAAGAATAAAATATTTTGACGTTCATTGAATGAAACAAATAATAAATAAAGCGAGTTTTCTGTTTTGCATATCATTAAATATACTGAATAAATTAAGTATGTGTATAAATGTATACTACAACCTTTCTGCAATCAAGTGTATATATAACATATAACATATATATATATATATATATTCATTGGAACATTTTTACACCTAAAATATATATAAATTGCTATAATATATTTATATTATATCTGATACTTAAAAACCTTACGTTTCAACGTGTCTTACATCAAAGTAAGGCATATCAGCATTTTTGTTAAAAAGATGTACACAATCATATTTCAGGAGTTTTTCTATTTTTGCATCTCATTCGATATTTGTATATATATGCACAAATGTATATATATGCCTTTTGTTTGCCTATTGTTTTGCACTCGAAAAAAGAGTAGAAAGAGAAAATGGAGGGAAGAAAGTTCAATAAGTACTTTTCTCAAGTCTACCAAATGGAAAGCCCTGCTTTGAATGTCAGCATGTCTCTTGTAGAAGGCTGTGGCTTGTTGAAGCGTACACATTTTCCACCTAGTCTGTGGATAGGAAAAAAGGTTAGTCATATTGAGTCTTTGAACGATCACGTAATGTCAGGCCATGACAGGAGGCACAACAACAACAAACTGGCAAACTGAATTCTTTCACATGTAAATTAGAAACGACAAGATTCTATTGTTCCTGCTTTCTGTCATGGCTGCCTCGATCATGGTTTCCATGACAGCGCACTTACCGTGATCGTGACAGTACTGGGATTGTGGTTGTGATTACGGTAGTGTAGCGTTAGTAACGGTACTGTAACTAAGCGACCTTGATGGTGACCGTGACATGCCGTGATCGTGACGATACGTTGACCGTGATGTTAATCGTATTATTTCTCAATTGACACGGTTTTCTTTGTTATTCACAAGGCTTTATTTTTGTTATAACACTCATTATAAATGCGATGTCAATAAATAGTTATTAACCCGGTTAAAAACTATATATAGACTTTGCATTTATAATGAGCAACATTTGATAGAAAACCTTCTCAATTGATAAATAAAATACTTAATTACCTCGAACGTCGGCAATAAGCCTATATATACCTCGTGCCTGCTGTACTCGGGATGTATATGGCTTATTGCCTCCGTTCTCGGTAATTAACTCTAACATGGTGCCAAGTCGAACTTTTATTTCTAGCCATTCAAACTCATCCTGAATTGCATGTGTGCGAAGCTAGACCGGCAAAAATCATTGTTCTCTGTAAGGGGCTGGTCATTGATTAGATATTCAACTGTTTATTAAGCTGTTCGAGCTAGCCATGATTATACAAATGAGCTTAAATTTGTGTTGTTGAGAGATGTTAGTATAAAGTACTTGTCTTTCACCTTAGTAGTATAGGGGATGGGGGTTCCAGCGCAACGACCACCGGAGGATTACCCGTCTAAAGTGAATTCCTCGATTCGTACCGCGATTACCCGCATCCCGTGT